CTTAGCAAATAATTGGAGAATCTGGATTATATGAAGTAAGAGCATGATTATCAGGATTGGAGGAAAACTCTAATAGCCTGTGGTATGCAGATGATTTAACCTTGTTTGCTGAAAACGAAAATGACTTAAAATACTGATGAACATCAACGACCAAAGTCTTTAGTATGGATTGTACATCAATGTAAAGTAAACAAAATTACTCACAACTGGACCAATAAATAGCATCATGAGAAATGGAGAAATGCATGAGTGGCCATCTAAGGTGCAGCTATTGGTCTCTCCAGTTATTGATCTCTCCATGCATGGAAGAAAGAAGAGTGATGAGAATTGATGCTTGGAATCAATGACTCCATTGGATTAATAGGACATGTGAACATCAGTCTCCATCACTTTGAGATGAGAAACACTAGATGGTGCCTGGCTACTACTACCAACTGCTCTGAAAGGGATCACATTGTAAGGTTGTGGATAGAGTGATAGAAAATGTGGAACAAAACTTAAAATTATTTAAAAAAAAATAATAATAAAAAATTATTTTAAAAAAGATTGGCTAACTTGTCAGAAAGAGACTGGTAGAACCATGATTACCTTAAAGTTTGGAAAGGAACTCATCCTCTTGGCACAATGTTAAGCCAAGTAGTAGATATGTATATAGTGGGGGCAACAACAATGGTAAGGTGTGCTCACCATTGATGTACTCATTCAAAATAAAATGTACAATGTTTACCTAAGGGCAAAGTTGAGAAGGGATAGGAAGATGGGCAGAATGAAAGTAGAAAGCACGTTGAGGAAGTGGGAGAACTGTTGTTGCATGGAAGGAGTTAGAATCATTGAGAAGATTTGTTGAATGTAAAACTGATGCTCTTGTCTCTTCAATCAATTCACAATAAAAAGTTGTTCAAGACTTCATTTTACTTGGATCCACAATCAGTATTCATTGAAGTAGCAGTCAAGAAATCAAACAACATATTGCTTTAGGCAAATCTGCACAAGCCCTCTTTAAAGTGTTCAAGAGCAAAGATATCAGTGTGAGGACCCAAGCCATGGTATTTTCTGTAGCCACATATGAATAAGGAAGCCTGTAGGAGAATTGATGCATTTGAGTTATGGTGTTGGAGAAGAATATTGAAAGTACTATGGGCTCCCAGGGGAACAAACGAATCTGTGTTGGAAGAAGTACAACAGAATGCTCCTTTGTAGCTAGAATGGTTATGCTGTGTCTTTCAGACAAAAAAATATTATCAGGAAGGACCAGTCCCTGGAGAAGGACTTTATGCTTTGTAAAGTGGAGGGTCAGTGAGAAAGAGGAAGACCCCCAACAAGATGGATCGGCACAGTGACAGCAGCAATGGGATCAAGTGTAGCAATGATTGTGAGGATGATGCTGGGCCAGGCAGTGTTTCATTCTGTTGTACATAGTTACATAGTGTTGTTATAAATCAGAACTGACTCAATGACACCTAACAATCACAAAGATACCCACACATTTTTTTTTTTTTACCAATTCTAAATATATAGTTATTCTAGATATATTTGCTATTCTTTACACTACATGTCTATGTTCATCCAAACATTCATTGATATTTATAATGGCTTTTTAAAGCATAAGCAGTACAATGAAATGGATATATAATTAAGGAAATTCTAAGTGTCATGATTTTGGGGTTTATGATTTCCTAGAATTTCCTGTGCTAGTGATAGGATACAGGTTTCTTCTAAATGATTCTATAAAAGAAATCTTTTATATTTGTGAGATTGATAGATCATTTCATCATTTCCTTACAAAACAAACAAACAAACAAAAATCTTCTTACACAAACTCACCTTCAAAGGAACAAGGAAAGTTACAACTTTAATCTACCAACTAAAACCATAACTTACCTAGTACTTCACTGTAAAACTGATCCCACTTCTTCTCATTAAATGTCTGGAACCAAAAGTCAAAATAAAGTGTATATATCATATTTTTTATCCTTTCCATGAATGTCATTTGATCACTCAATTCTGACATAACAACAGGTACATAGGAAGGAGGTGCTAAAAGTCCTCCACTATATTTTTCATATTTATATCCAGTAGTGAACCGGATACTGTACAAAAAAGGTATTTTAAATATCTGAGCTAGCAGCTCTCCACAAGGACCAACGGCATCAGCAAGAATGACATCAAATCTTGATTCTTGTAGTTTCATCATAAGTTTCTTGTTGTAAACAACATCTTTACAGAGCCTTTCAAGATAATCAGAATATTCCCAAAAGATTTTTTGAATTTCTGGAAAATGTTTCCAAGGCGATTCTTTTGACTTACGTGTCCATTCATTGATCCAACTCATGAAGGAAATTTCTATTTCTTCTTTATTAAAAGATGTAGGATAAACTTCAAATTTAATAGCAGATGCCATATTGGGATTAATAAGAACGGAAGCTGCAGATGTTAGAACAGTCACTTCATGACCTCTCTGAATAAGTTCATCCAGTATTGTTTTTATATTGATCCAATGACTATATTCAGTCGGCCACACCAGCACTTTCCCACACCTTCCAGAGCTAAAGTAACAACTCAGTTGTATCACCAGAAGCAATGGAACCCATTTCACAGACATCTTGATTAAAAGAAATTCTTCCTTTCAAATGGTTTTTCCCTTGGTCCTTGCTGATACTTATGTCTAAGGAGAAATCAATGAAGTTAATATACAACTCTTGCACATCAAAGTAAATGTATTATATGAGTCAGAGCATGTGGTTATCAAGCACAAAAAGCAAACAGTAGATGACCTTTATATGGGTGTACTTAGTGTCTCTCATCATAAGTGGCATCACACAGTTAAGCATTGATGACTTAGCATTTACATGCCACCTATGTTACATAATAGGTTTTAGAATAGTGTTAAGAACATGTGACTGCGGATTCACTGAAAAAAACAAAAGTTAAAGTTAAAGTAGTTATATAGTTGCACCAGCATATCCTTTTTTTTTTTTTTTTGCTGTAAAAACTTAACATAGTTCATTTACAAAAGTCCATTCCAGAGGGATGGAGCAGTTGGCAAACAGATGCAGTAGGT